ACGCAGCCAGTCAAATTTTTCACGCAGCGAGGTCCCTGCTGACCGTTTTCCCTCTTGTCGTCTCTTTCAGCCGAGCTCGAAATTATCGGACGACAGTAACGGATATCTTCGGCGAATTAAAAGTGAGCGTAATCCATCGAGCGACGCGTGGGTGTGAACAGGCGCGAGGAAAGTGGCTTATTTCGAGGAGATTATCTCGAGAGGCGCCTGTCCTGAACGGAAAAACCTCCGGTTTCCTGATTCATAGGGTTCGGCCTCGTGTTACGAAGCCGCTCCCGTCTTCGCCGGCAGCCCGAGACGAGCATCTCGCTGGCGCGCGCTAATTAAAATTACGCCTGGCTGAGCTCGGCTCCGCCACTCGCCTACGGCTATCGTGCGTGTTAAAGGAAATCGTAATTGGTACTCGTTACCCGCTGCTGTAAATGTATCACTGGTGCTTCGGATGCCGTGGCCTGTTTCACGGCAGGGAGAAAGTATCCGCGATTCATCACAGCAGCCGTGCTGCCGTATTCTTCTTTCTCTCCTGGATAACAGATTTTTCGTCCTTCCGAAGTATAGGTATTTTTTTTTTTTTTTTTTTTTTAGGTCGAGAGAAGCGATTTTATATGTTTGTTAAATATAAAACAATGTTTGCTATTTTCTATTTTATGTTTAATTATTTTATATTTTATTTGTTTGTTAAAAGAACTAAATTTTAGAAAATTATATGTTATTTTTAATTTTTAAATTATATATTTAAATTATGAATATTAATTTAGTCAATGGTACAATATTTATATTTGTATTATTTGTCTTGTTTATTAAAAAAATTAAATTTTAGAAAATTATTTTTAATTTTAAATTTTTAAATTATATATTTAAATTATGAATATTAATCTATTCAATATTGCCATTATTATTTATATTTATGTTATTTGTCTTGTTTATTAAAAAAATTAAATTTTAGAAAATTATATATTATTTTTAATTTTAAATTTTTAAATTATATATTTAAATTATGAATATTAATCTAGTCAATGTTACCATTATTATTTATATTTGTATTATTTGTCTTGTTTATTAAAAAAATTAAATTTTAAAAAATTATATATTATTTTTAATTAAAAATTTTCAAATTATATATTTAAATTATGAATATTAATCTATTCAGTATTACCATTATTATTTATATTTATATTATTTGTCTTTGACAATAGAACGGATTGATGCATATTTTGGAGTATAACATATAATATATTCCTTTGTGTGTGCTCCTTTCAGGCATTGTCAAAGTTGCTAGTCGACAAAAAGTTCGAGTTGACAAAAGAAACAGTTGATCTGTTATTTATTACATTTACATATTGTAATAATCTCGTAGTTATAAATGAAATTATTAATATTTACGTGACAATAAATCTCCGCAAAATTCCTATGAAAAGTTACTGATCAGCCTAATAACAGAGATACGTCACATACTCGATTCCAGTTGTTGCCAATATAATCAAAATGCAAGAAGTCTCGTCTCGATGTCCAAAAATGAGGATATTACGCAACTTTAATTGCGACTTCGTGGATCAGTTCGATATGGAAAAAGGCGTCACACATCATGTTTCTTATTACATCAGCATATACAACTTGAACGATCAAAGGTAATGGGAATCTTCGACATTGATTTTCAAGCCGGTTGAAAGGTGGTGGGTGTACGTACGGCGAATTAGAATTGGAAGCTGCTCGATGACTCGCGCGCTTAGTCACACAATGAATATCGCGATTGAATATTAAAATGACATCGACACGAGCCGCAACAAGGAGACTGTGTCGCGCAAGCCTTTTTCTCCTTTGATCAAACTTCCCTCCTCTTCGCTATTGTTCTATTTTCATTGCAGTTGCATTGCGTCACGTTGAAATTTTGTCCGAAACGATTTAAATTTAAATTTGTCTTTTACGATCTAAATTTAAATTTGTTGTCCTCCATGATTTTTCATTTTCTTTCTTCTTCGACTTCGAGTTTTTGGAAATTTGGGTAATAAATAAATTCAGCGTCAAATTCCTAGTTGCGATTTTCTCTCTCTACGAAATTAAAAAGGACAGCACGATAGACACGGTTGTTGTTCATTCGTATAGGATGTTCGATTTCACTTCGAACATGATTGCGGGTGATTGACATTTTTGATCGTGGCATGATTGACGAAAACCGAACGAAGCTTTGAACCGGTAACTCTGCAACATGCGATGACAGGATATTAGTAGATGAGAATAATCATACAAAATATGCTTCAGTAAAAATATAACGATAATATTTGTAAATATTTTTCTTTTCTTTCCTCCAATTATTATTGAAATATTTACGTATTTATAGAAAATTGAAAGATACAAAAACTGTAGTTAACTAATGAAATATCGAACGCCCCAAAAAAAAGAAACACTTATTCATAAAACTTATTCTTCGTGGTAAACGTTCGACTACATCTCCTGAATCACTGTACATTCAATCACCAACACTTCTAACTAAACAAACCGTATGTCGAAATACATAGTTGGAATTAAGGCAAAGTTTCCTACCGGTTTTAAACAGACGTGTGCCTTTCTAAGTGGCCGTGGTGCACAATGGCCCGAGATAAAGAACGGACGAAGCAAAAATCACCTCCGCGACGTGAATCACCGGTCACAATAACAGAAAATTTGGACTGCTCCTAATTTAGTCTGTCCTGTCCACCTTTAGATCTTTCCAACGCTCGGAGAATAACCAACTCTGCGTTTTCAAATTAACTATTGTCCAATGTAAAAAAGCGGGCGAACTAGTTTGGTTCATTTCTAGAACGTATCGTTCTCGCGTGCTGTTAACGACACAATGTAGTTGCAGGCCGTGTAAGAATAACTTGACGTAAGGTATTGCCAGTCGCGCTGGACTTCTGATAAGTTTCACGTACGTACGTACATATATGCCTCGTACGTGTGTTTTATCACGCGAAACGAGGTTCAAACGATGGATTATATCGCTTGTCAAGGAGCTGATCGTTGTACATATGTGTAATTTGTTTTGTCTAATTGTTTGTGTATTATTCATTTACATTTTTGTCACGTACGGTTGCTCAAGTAAGGTATTCGAACATTTTTTTGAATGAATTGTCACACGTTTTGTTGTATCACGTAAAACATTTTCAAACTTTACTAAACACTGTTCGTCGAGTTTGAAACAAATTTCGAAAAAATTACAAAATATTTCATAGACATCAAACGTCAGACATGGACAGTCTTTAAACGGTCAATTATTCAATTATCCGTTTTAAGTATCAATGAACCTATAATGAAATTTTAGTCGTAAATAATATCAACGATCATTTGAAAAATGCAAAAATCACTAAAAATCAGATCTGTGACGAAAAGTGTTAAATTCTAAATCTCAGAGAGAGTACAGAAATAAACTGTATTACCAGAGAGGTACAAAATGAAAGAAAAAAACGAAGAATTATTTTATTTGAAACTATGTTATTCTCGTTTTATTAAAAACATTCCTCATTCTCTCTTCACCCCAAAAGAAAATTTAACAAAATGATACTTTTTCCACTGAGAATTTCGATTAATTTCCACGCAATTTCTCTACGCGACGATTCTCAAGCAAGATCGTTTCACTTCGTCTTGCAATTATTCTCAACAAATAAAACGTCCGTGTTGGTCGAAAATGTCGATGAATCATCCGAAACGTTTCGTAGAGTATATCCATTCCGCGAGAAATCATAAGCAATCGCAAAACGTCCATTTATCGACGCGCGATCTCTCCTCGTGGCCGCGATGCGTTTCACGCGTGTTCCTTTTCGCCTTTTTGGCTGGACACGAGCTGAAAAAAATGGCTGGTGGCCGTTTATAGATTCGAACGAGGCGCTCGTTACACGCGCGATCCATCGCGAATCCACGATCGATCATTCCGACGTTCGACCTGCCCGCCTGTTCCTCGTCCAGTTCCTAGACGAAGCCTTATAGGAATGGAGCTGGCAGCTCTGTTGCGTTTGCTCGCCGCTCTGGGACCTAAAGTCGCTCCGCAATTTCGATCGTGGCCTGGTCCGCCGTAAATTATCTCCGCGTCGAGATTATTGATTTAAAAGCAGAGCTTCGCGGTTGCTCGCTGAAATGGACATCTCGCTGTCCATTCCCAACACCTACGTTTATAATTAATGGACTGGCTCGTGGAACATCGAGTTACCACGACCGGATAGAAGTCTTGGGATGGCTATTGCTGGCAAATTAGTGGGAACGTTTGTGTAAATTGTTGCCCTTTAATGAATTTAATTCTGAAGAAAAAAAACTGTGTTTAACGCGCGAAAGTGAAATTTCATTTTTCTTCTTTTTTTTTTTTTTTATGAATTTAATTCTGAAAAGATCTCGTTACACGTTCCATTGCGTAATATATTTAACAGCGGAATTTCATGTATCACATACTTTATTTATTCGAGCGAGAAAATGAATTTGTAATATGTTATTATTGTACTATGTTATATTATTTAATGATTATATAAATTATATAATTTTAAAAGTAAATTATATAAATTTAATTCAATTCGATTCAATTGAATACTTTGATTCTAGATCGCTTTTAGATCAATTAAGATAGAAACATTTTTATGAAGCGAGGACTGTCCACAAAAAGTGATGAACATCTTGTTCAAAAAAAATTGAACTTTTGATACCGTTGCAAACAAATTCAACGCTCAACGAATTTAATTCGTATCTATCGTTCATGAAATGAAGTCAAATGTAAGAGGAAGAAACAAGAATGTTTTACAAAAAAATAAATATAAATAAATAAATTAGATTTTAGTCCACTCGCGAAGAAACGGTATAATCGATCAATTTTTATCGTTGGTAAAGTGAAATTGAAATGACAATTACCAGATTATTTGCCGATGGAATAACACGAGCGATTAGAATTACCACCCCGGCGCGTAGACGAACGGAGTAGTGAGCTTTTCTGTTTTGATCCGCTTGAGAACGATCGCGTAACCACTCGTTCTATCCTCGTCTAGGTATGTTTGCCACGCATCTGGTGGGAGAAAGACGGAGAGGGAGCCGTGTAGGGCCAAGCAGAGAAGTGGGATTTGGCGCGAGCGAGGAGAGAGGGATGGCGGAACTGTCAGTGCTACATCGGTTCTCTTCACGTAAGGACGAGCCACAGGGATCACCTGCGAATCACCTTCCTCGTCGGGACACCACTTTTCACCCAGGTGAGTCTCTTCGCCTCTCCTTTTCTCTTTTTTTCTTTTTTTTTTTTTTTTTTCTTTTTCGTCGACCGGTTGCAAGATTAATCGTCGCGGATTCGGTCAGCCGCGAGTTGGGTAATTTATGGCGTCTCTCTCGGTGGATCGGTCGCTTTGTAAACACGAGTATGTACTTGGTCCGGCTCTGGGAGATTAATCGTCCGACCGCGAGCGAATTCAGTTTTGACAGGGCGGAGGAGGGTTTTTTAAGGGGCTAGAGATTTTTGGTTGAGATCGTGATTATTATATTGGAAATTTAGTTTAGAGGTTCCGTGGAATTTGTCATCCCCGTGCATCGGATGATAGATAGTTGGATCGTTGAATGTAGAGGACACTGCTGCGGTCCATTAGTGTTGCACGTTGGCGGATGAAAGTATTTGGACATTTAATGTAGGAAACTTTTATAGGAGAAATTTTATTAACTAAATTACGGATGTGCAATTTTCAGCAAAATTTAGAATAAAGATTTTAACAGAATCTGCGCCTGAAATTTCGAGATAACAGGCCGACTAATTTATTTACCGAAGGAATCAAGCTTTCTATTTAAAAAGAAGACAAAAAAACTGTATTTCCTTTGCATAAAATGAATACAGAGCACACTATCTTTCGTGCTCACTTATTATTCCAAAGTATACGCGAGCGAATCTGAGAACCATCAGTGCGCTCCACTTCTCTCGAACAATCCTTTTAGACCATGTATCGTTTCACAGTGACAGTTATGGTTTTTATCGTTCCTTATTAATCAAACTCTGTATCGAGATTGTTAGATACTACTCTCGTTTCAGTAACAAGAAAAAAAAAAACGTAAAAGTATTTGTAGTTGTAATCGTACGAATATTTTTATTTCAGTGGAAGTTAAGAACTTCTTCAGTGATGTTGTTTAAAAGTACAATATAGTATTGTTGGATCATCATTTTCTTCGATTTTACAACTTTAAAGCAGCTTGTGTCAATTAATATTCATAATTTTGAAATTAAACTCAAATTTCAAGAAGAAGAAGAAAGTCTCGACGACAATACTGAATTTATCCAGCCATAAAACATAGGTTACAATTAATTGCTTCGCTTTCAGTATCCAAGATAGTTACTAGTTCAATGCCATTTTATTCAACTATGTGGCTATGACTAAAAAACAGAATTGTAAAAAGATTATTATTATCTCTACTCGTTCATTCATCAGACAAAACATATTTGTATGGTACGTTTCACAAAATATTTAGAATTACTCGTCAATCAACTATAATTTCGTTAATTTCACACCATGTCAAGCGTTGAAATATTACAGGCAACTGATGACAATCTATCTTACAAGATAAAATTGAAATTACAGTGAAATTTTATTACAGACATATACAATTGCCATCTTACGAAATGATAAGCGTCTTAACAAATACGAATGTTTATTTAAACCACGGATTCGTCAAAATCACGCGCGCATCGTAACGTTATAGTAATAGCAGCTTTAAACGTCTAATTTACTATTGAGATTCGATACTGGAACAGCCCTCGGGGCTGAGCCCATGTTTCATTTAAATTACCCGTATTTCGAGTTTCTACATGCAAATGATGTTCTTTATCCGTTGTAAAATCGACCGCGATATCATATCACATCGTATACGCAGTTAATTTTTCATCTCATTCCTGTCTCTTATGAAGACTCGAATTAATTTATTAATTAACGCAGGCAAATTTTTAGCTACAACGGGCCTCGATCGATTTTCAAATTTGCTTCGAACTTTATCTACCATAGGTAATCGTAATAGCCGTGTGCTCCACTAGAATGCTAATGAAGCTTCAAAAAGTTTTCCATATATTCATAAAAGTTCTCGATGGCGTGTGTTCGGATACTTCCGTGACATACCGTATGTTGCAAGCCAATATGAAGTTCTTGTTTTGTACGACATAATTAAACTAAATGGATATTGTTCTTTCGCTGCAATAGTAGATTAAACCGTTAAATCTCAACTTTTTCGATAAAAAAGGAAAAACCATTTTATAGCGCTCCTTTGTGCTTTCTTTCTTTCTTTTCAACTTTGGCGAAAAGGCAAAGTGATTTTGTGCAGCAACGCGTAAATTTAAAAGAAGAAACGCTATTTTTATGATAAAAACTTAACTCTTGAATAGAGTGATGATAAGATCAAAGAGAACAATGGCACAATTGTAAAGTAAACATTCGATAGTAAAAGTATGACGACACATAATATTTCACGTGTCTTTCCTTCAGTTTCGTTTCCGAATGATATAAAAGCTCACGTATTCGACGAAAGAGAAGAATCTGATGTGAAAAATTTGCTCGCAAGTACTATTGAATCAAGTCTGTCCAAAACTTAAAAAAAAAAAAAAAAAAAGCGAAAGCAAGGAACCGTCCGATCTTTACCTAATATAACTACCTAATATAATCACACCCGAGACAAACGATAAACACAGCACGCGCCATCCTTCGCCACCCTTACGCAGGAACATTTGTAGCAAAGAAGCCAAATGACTCACACTCGTTTCGATGATCCTCTCGAACCGACTCGCGCGATTAACGATCCACGAGTGCGCTATATTTAAAGGTACAAGTCATTAAATATTATAAATATCATGAAGTCTTATATTATAAATATTCTGGAAAGTATTACATTATATTATAAATCTTATATTATAAATATTCTGGAAGAATATAATAGAAATATAATATATATATAATATTATAAATATTATAAATATAATATATATAATATATATAATATTATAAATATTATAAATATAATATATATAATATTATAAATATTATAAATATAATATATATAATATATATAATATTATAAATATTATAAATATAATATATATAATATTATAAATATTCGGGAATTATTAATATTCTATTAATTTTTCGTAGAGGTTTACAATTTTCATAAGAACTCTGAGTACTTAAAATTTTATAGAAATTTATAGCTCTGAATTTATAGTAATTATTACGATATTTTGTAAATTTTAGAATGACTTTTCACAAAATATATGAATTTATCACATTATAAACTTCTTTTCGTTCCTTGCATTCTTCCATTTCTCCGACACGTGTTTCACTCTTTAGTCACGTAAAAAATTTCAAACGATTCCAATTCAAGGATCAAACACAGCTCGATAGTTAAGTCGATAAATTCGACAACGCGCAACGCAAGTGCAATTACTTAGGTAGACGCGTCTCCCGAGATGGTTTCCCTAGTCATTCGAAGCATCCAGCCTTTCTATCTTTCATCACCGCTCAAGCACAAAAGCAGACGTGTGGCAGACGCGATTCTCCGCGGTCTTGGATGCATGGCGATCGCCGGACGTGGTGATCTCCGGTTCTTTTTCAACCGCGCCCTCTTTCTCTCTTTCTCTCGTTTCCCTCGTGGCCGTGGGATCGTCTTTAATTAACCGCGATGCGATACTTAGGCGGCCCTTTGCTTGACATTGACGATTAAACTCGAGGGCACCAAGTCCCGTCTCGGTATATCCACTCGTTTATGAGTGTTACTAGATACTATTCCAGAAGATAAGAATATTTCTTTAGAATAATATTTTCATAGTGAATATATTTTATTCTCATGGTCAGTCTTGAATGTCTTGCATCTGCATCTTATTCTGCAACTTGTGACTATATATCTCGAGATATAGAATGTTAGTTAAGCCCAGATACTCGGAAAGATACTTGATAAATGAAAATATATAAATGTAGTAAATTAGCGGCCATACTTGTACGTACATATCACCATGAGCCATTCCAGTCTGCGTTAAACTAGAGTTGCTAATAAATATTGTTACTTGAAAATACAGCTGTCTGCTACCTGAAAATACTAATGTAATTTAAATACTAAAAAAATTTAATTTAATAAAATACTGAGATAACTTAATTGATAATTAACCGTAATTACTAAAACGTACCAACTGTAAACGAATTTAATCCTTTATAATGTACTGTCACTTGTAAATAATACGTACATATCAATATTCTAAAAAATTTATCCTGTACTTATTCGTCAAAAATACCAAATGACTTATAACAATTATTAATATTCAGGCTTTTAATTGTAATTATCCAGTAGTTAATAACAACCTTTCTCTCTCGTAGGTAAATAAAATTCTATAAAGAGTTGCGATAATTAATTCTTATTACAATGTATGAAATAACAAAATTGCTATAGCTTCGTGAAAAAATTTTCTATAGAATATTTCGACCAATCTTTACTAGCTAGGTATCTGTGATTAGGACATCTTCGACCGTCACGTTGGACAGATTTCCAACGATTACGTTAGGCAGAGTAAGAGAACGGAATTAGAAGTCGATTAGAGTGTTGTATCAATTAACGGCAGGGAAATAGAATTAACGCTGCTACATAGCGGGCAACTGCGTTTTCTGGACGCTTCGGGCAAACACGTGCGTGCCATGTGCGAATGCGTTGCTAATTGTACATGCAGAGCACGAGTGCTGCGTTTACGTTGTACGTGCTTTCGCTAGTCGAACGCTATAAATCGTGGTTTTTACTCGTTTCTGTCTCGAAATCCTGTTTGCTTAATATTGATCTCCCTCCTTAATATTCTATTGCACAGTGTTGTATCTTTTCTCTAAGAAATAACATCGCGATAACATCGACAAATGACGTTAAAGTTTTAGATGTCTCACAGAAATGTGACTAATGACCAACACGAAATATTTTTGGGGAATTTTTCATCTTCAACTATATGTGAAAAAAATGCGGAATTTAGAGGATTCGTACAATTTTAGGGAAATGTAGGAAATGTACAATTTTAAAATCGTAATTTCACGTGAAACGGACGAAAAGTTGAATCATAAAAGTAAATTAGCAAATTAGAGTAATGCCTTTATATTAAAATACATTTTCTAAGTCGTCGAATTTACATTATGCACTTGTGAAAAATTTAAAAATACAAAAATCCACGGGATTCCATTCAATCATATCCAAAATTTTTATAAAAATC